GTTAGGAAGACAATAACTTATAGGGTTGTTCTAAACCATAGGCAACAGTTATCCAAGCCTACAAAAATTATGAAGCTGACCCGATTCACACATTTATTAAACATGTGGGGGAAGTCTTCGTAGGTAGGCTATAGCAAGAGGTGTAGGACATGAGATTACACCCCTCCAAACTGTTAACAACCTTATCCATACACTATCACCTCAGTGGGGAGACATGGGCATTGTGGTTAGAAATGAAATACTAGAAAGTAACCCTCTAGAGTACCCAAAAAGAATCGACTTCGAGCTATACTATGAAACTTTCCTAGATAAGTAGATTTCTACTCTTGAGCTTGAACCCGAGCTAGAGAAGGACCCAGAGGAAGACCCAAGATAGGAGCCGAATTATGAATCCATGTGGAAACCAGAGAATGAGTCGGAGTATGTACCAGGACCAAAGCTAGAACTAGAACTAGAGCCAGAACCAGAACCAGAACCAGAGCATGGCCAGGGCTCGAATTAGACCTTAAGCTAGAGGTTGACTAGGAATCTGAGCCTGAGTTATGTATATCTTTGGAAGATGAAGCCCCTCCATCTAAGCTTCGTAGGATTCAAGATGGTTGAACAAGCAAAGATGAAGACTAGCAACCTAGAGATAGTTTAGTTTAAATAAATAATTTCATCCTAAGATAAAGGGGGGATGTAATCAACATTTGGAATAATTCATAGGTTTTTCTTCATCGTCTATGATTTAATCCTTTCAATCATTCTTCGTGTATTTTAGGATTTAAAATTTTGTGAAACTGAGTTGTTCATTCGAATATATTGAGATGTTATTGACTATTTCTAAAACGAAATTTATTTTGTTGATTTAAAGGAAATGACATGTCAACCAACACAAGATGCTATGTTTAAGGATTTGTTGAGAGCTGTGTAAGATCTTGGTAGACAGCAAACACGAGCACCCCCTCAGAATGCACAGACTAACTCCAACACCACGAGCTCAGTTGTGGAATACTTTTGTCATTATAAGCCCCCTACCTTTAACGGGATGGCTGGCCCTTTGACAGTTGAGGAATGGATAAGGGGTTTGGAACGGATCTTAAAGCATCTTAGCTACACTGATGCCCAGAAGGTTTTATGTGCTGAGTTCATGCTATTCGATGCAACGGCCCATTGGTGGGAGTTCATTTCACGCATTAGGATTGAGGCACAACAAAGTAACCTTACTAAGGCACGTTTCAAATAGGAGTTGATGGGAAAATATTTCTCACAAGCTTTGAGAGATCGTAAGGAGATGGCGTTTCTGCAACTTAAGTAAGGAAAAATGGCATTGATCGATTATGAGAGGAAGTTCAAACAACTTTCTAGGTAAGCGACACATTTAGTAGATACAGAGCAAAAGAAAGCTAGAAGGTTTAAACTTGGACTTCGCCAAGAAATTGAAGGAATCATGGCATCTCATGAATTCACCATGTATAGTCAGGTTCTACAACGAGCTCGCGCAATTTCAAATCGACTAGAAATTGATTAGACAATTCGAGAAAGCACTAAATTTTTAGGAAAGAGGAAATGGAATGCGCCGAACGAAGGTAAAGGAAATGGATAAAACAAGAACACTAGTTTTGAAAGGTGGTCAGGATCAAGTAAGCCAAATAATGTTCTTCTTCCTTGTTTTAAGTGCAATAAGACCCATAGAGACGAGTGTTTGTATGGAAAGAATGTGTGCTATCAATGTGGAAGGCATGGTTATATTGCTACCAATTGCCATGGATCCCACCGAAGCGGGACAACGAACAAAGCAAAAAGGGAACAGCCAGAGTGTTTGCCTTAACCCAACAGGAGGCAACTGACAATTAAGACATAATGGCAGGTACCCTATGAATATCTGCACTGCTTGCTTATGTTCTTATATACACGGGGTTGTTCATTCCTTATTTATACTATTACTAAATCTCATACTGTTTGCGAAGAAGTCGTTGATGTTCTAGAAGTTACTACCCCATTAGACAATACGCTTAATACCAATCGATTACTAGGACAGTCGAGATGAATGAACAAGAATTTGTAGCTAACGTATGACTTTTAGAGATGAAGTATTTTTTGATGCCATCTTAGGAATAGATTGGTTGGAAAATAATTATGCAACAATACAAAGCTTTGAGAAGACAGTAAATTTTTATTAGTGTGGAGAAAATGAGATCAAGTCCTAGGACTTTTTACCTAGATAAGATAATTTCACAGACGAAATTAATTTAGGAAGGGGAGATTGTCACGCTCCAAAAATTTTATAGGATAAAGCTATTTGTTCTGTCTGCTACATTTTATATTTTGGAAAATTGGGGGTTGAAGTGATACATGTATTAATTTCTATTTTATTTGGATAAAATATTTAAATATTGATAAAGTAATGATAAGTATATCAATATTGTACTTGTTATATAGCTCTTATTTAATAATCTATTTTAAGCGCGAGAAAAAGTCAATTTGAATAAATCAGCACCAAAATATTACAGTTTGAAAAAGTCGTTAAAATCTGTTATTACAATTGAATCCAAAATTTGGCTGTAAAGGGAGATGCTGTCCCATGTAGGAAGTGTTATATTGTTTATTTATTTGTCGAATGATATGTTCACCTGAAGGTTAGGTAGAAAAGGTAGTTTCTTTTTTTCATTTTCTTTGATTTTGGGTTTTGTAGAGATGCCAACCACGTATAGACTAAATAGGGATAAGAGTCAAGACAAAGTAGTTTATTTCTTTACTTACAGGAATGATATTAATATCATATTACGGACCTTTCTCGGCATCATACACGGCACATCACAAATTTTATGCCACCGAGAGAGTCAATTGTCTTTGACCAAAATTAATTAAGTGACCTTTTTTTTTTTTTTTTTTTTTTTTTTTGGGTTGGAGTAGGATGATTATGCTGCAGATGATGATCAGTATGAGAAAAAACTCAAGAAAGAGACATTAGCATTTTTCATGCTGGCTACGTAAGATCATTTTTTTTTTAATCGTTACGGTTGAGAGGCACGTGCGAATAATTGTAAAAAACCAACTATACGGAAAATAGTGTGAAAAAAGGATTGTATAGGGTCACACTCAAATAAGTGCTAAAATTGGGAATAAAGTAGGGATGATATGTTTTCGTTACCATTTGGTATATGATTTTAAGCGAGGCAACAGAGAAAAAAAAAATTGGGAACGTGAATTACTTACTTTTCTTCCAACAATTCTCTTTACCAATCAAGATATGATACTATATGCAAGTTAATCCGTCTTTGCAATATTATAATTTTTTTTACGTAATTTTATTTCATGAAATGCTAGTTGACCTATGGGTCTTAATGAAATGTGAGATCTCCTTCGAGTTTTCTCGATTGTTTGCACAGAAATGTTTTAGAGCATTCGATTGATCTCTGATTGCTGTTGATGGAATGTTATAAATTTATATTTAAAAAGTTATTATATTATTTTGGACGTAGGTATCCTACTGAGTTTGAATTACTCATTCCTTTAAATTTTAACATTTCAGATTAAATCGGTCAAATGTGGATGGTGGCTAAACAGTGTGAGGGTTGTCAAGTAAATTTTTCAAGAAAACGCTCAACAATAAATTTGTTAGGATATTTTGTGTTTTTCCTTATTTTCATTAAATATTCTTAATATCGTGATACTAAGTTTATTTAATTGTGTACATTATGTTCAATAAATTAAGGATTTACAATTTTCAATTAAATATTTCCACTTCAAGTATGTTTATGAAATGATATTGGTAACACTCCAAAATTTCAATAAAGTTTGGGGCTTTACACTTATCACTATGTGTTATACTCTTGCACAGAAACTATTCATGTGTAGTTTGTTCAAGAATAAATAATAAGTGAAGAATATTGACATCACGAATGAATAAATAAAATATAGCACCGTTTGATAGCCAATATTTTTAGAAAACAATATTTTGAGTAGTGATTTTTTTGAAAAAATGTATAGTTAAAAAGTATGGATAATTTTTGAGTTTACGTGTAAAATATTTTATCGTGTGAATGTATAAATAAAAATGAGTATATAAATTAAAGAGTTTTGGAATAATGGTTATAAAACAGGCACATAATTGTCTTTATGGGGAAAAAAAAAAAAAAAAAACGACGAGGCATAGGGAAAAAAATTAAACTTTAGAAGTACTATAACTAACGATCTTCTAATTGTCACAATTAAACACGATTTATCTCTCAAACATGTTCCATACAGGCATTCCTATGAACAATTGGCCATTCTTTATAGCCGGATCTACCTAGGTTCTTTGGAAATGTAGACTATGTTTGGCTTGCATTTTAAACTCCACATTCAAAGAGACTCATAACTTTTAAGCCACATATTTATCTATATTTATCAAAATTTACTAAAAATCTGATTTTATCTAAACCAATAAGGAGTTAAATAAAAAATTAATTAATTAATATTAAAAATTGGAAAAAAAAATGTAATGCACGTGATTGAACTTTTAAATGGACCTACACGGTCTATTAAGGACTTAAATGCTATCTAAGAAAAATATAGAAATCTAACTAGCCATTTTTCTTTATTTATACAATATATTACATTACATAATTTTTAGGAAAATGCTCTGTGTACAGAGATTTTTTTCACAGTTACATGATAGCCACACCCCATGTGAATATTTTATTGAAATGGGCCAGTCTACTGTGTGTATTCTGTGAAACGTCTGTAAAATTTTTCCCTATAAGTGCAGCATCGTTCTAATTTTCAATACGACAAACCCTAATGGGATTGGGAAAAAATATATATATGTACTGCACGTGATTTAACTTTAAAATAGACCTACACGGTCTATTAAGGACTTAAATGCTGTCTAAGATAAATATAGGAACCTATTTATTACATTTCGCATTGATTGGGATCCAGCTGTAAATACTTATGAAAATTGCCACTGCATTTTTCATGCCACCCCCGAGTTGCAGTTTTGCAGTAAAAGTGTCCAATTAATTCTGACGACAGACAGCACGTTACAGCCCAACAGCACAGGGGAAACGAAATCCATGTTTTATTCACAGAATTCACGTGAATCACCGTTTAAATACTACAGAAACCCTCAAGCAAACCCACAAAATTTTGAGGAGAAGAAGGAATGGGTGAAGAGAGCACAATGTGGAATTTTGAGGGTGATAAGCACCTGAACAAAGCATCTGCTTGCACTATTAGAAGCTTTCTCACCACCGTGAAAGAAAATCTGAATCAGAATGACGATAGGCCTGTTATTCCTCTCGGCCATGGCGATCCAAGCGGATTCCCGAGTTTTCGGACTGCTCAAGTAGCTGAAGACGCCGTTGTTGATGCAGTTCGATCTGCCAAATTCAATAGTTATTCATCAAGTCTTGGTATTATTGATGCGAGGAGGTAACTTGCTTGCCTTGCATGTTTCTGGTCAATAATTTTAGGAGCCAAAAAAAAAAAAATGCAATTTATGTTCATGATTTTTATTTCTTCTAATATCTATCTGTGGTTCCAGAATTCTGAAACTCTGACGTGTGTATAGTCACCTTAACTAAACATGAGGTGTTTGGTTTACTGTCTGAATGACGGTGATGTGAAGAAAATCCAATATAAGATTCAATGAACATGAATATACTGGAATTTGAATTTTTATAAAATAAATTTTAGCAGAAATCATTGTCAAGTTTCAAATGTGTCAAGTCTAATCTAGTATAATTTAAAATTCCAAGTACATGTAAAACAAAGTTTGGAAAATTAATCATTCATAAATTCAACAAGAGGGAAGATTCTTTAAAGTGGAACTAAGTAGATAAGGGAAAAATTTTACGAACTTCATATATTTTTGTTTTTTAATCTAAAATGGTGTAATTGATAAATATTTTAGTAAGTATATTTCAATAAATGGAATTAAAACATCAGTGCGAAGTCTGAACCTTTCTATTTTTTCTACTAGGGCGATTGCAGAGTATCTCTCTCATGACCATCCATATGATATATCACCAGAGGATGTTTTTGTCACTGTTGGTGCAAGACAAGCAATTGATGTCTTAATAACAGTTCTTGCGCGTCCTGGAGCTAATATATTGCTCCCCCGACCAGGATATCCATTGTATGAAGCACGGGCCGTGTTTAGCCATCTTGAAATACGCCACTTTGACCTTCTTCCAGAGAAGGCATGGGAAGTTGACCTTAATGGCTTAGAAACTCTGGCAGATGATAGAACAGTTGCCATGGTTCTTGTAAACCCTGGGAATCCATGTGGAAATGTGTACACACACGAACATTTACAGAAGGTGGTTAAATATTACTTCTTCATGCTTAGTAGTGCATCTATCTTCAGTTTTATTTGTGGAATTTAGTAATATTTAGTGATGGGTTCGAGTTCTTTAGATTGCAGAGACAGCAAAAAAGCTTGGATTTCTGATAATATCAGATGAAGCTTATGGCTATCTAGCTTTCGGGAGTACTCCATTTGTGCCAATGGCAAGGTTTGGATCAATTGTACCTGTTTTCACAATTGGCTCTTTATCTAAAAGATGGATGGTTCCTGGCTGGCGAATTGGTTGGGTTCTGACGAGTGATCCCAATGGTATCCTCCAAAAACATAAGGTATTACTCTCAATTGTACATTAGCACTAAATCCTTGAGTGATTTTTTATATTTTTTGGATAACATTGTCTAATGTTTATTCGAAATGACAAGAAGGAAAGAAGTGTTGACTGTCTTTTATTTGACAAAAGGATCATTTCTCGGATAACAATGCATAATATTAATTTGAAATCAACAAAATACTATCTCACGAGTGCTTTGCTTATTATATAATATTGATGAAGGTTGATAGTGTGAATATAATAGTGAACTTTCATTTTCTCAGTACATTCTTGGGAAGCCGATGTAGGACAACAAAGAAAAGGATGAATTTATGAATAGGAGCTATCTTTGGGCACCTCCAACCATTGCATCATTTTTTGGTGTTAAGTTGCTCCAACTCAATACCAAATTTTGCATCATTTTTCATCAAAATGGTGCAAAGTGTAAAATGTCCATTTTGCCCTTATTTAACATTTTTTAAATAAATTTGTTAAGGGTATTTATGTCATTTGTGCTATATATTTTTTAATACAATAAATTATTATTATTATTTTATTAATATTAATATTAATAATATTATTATTTGCATTTAAAATAAATTTTAAATGTAAGATATAATAATTAATAAATTAATTAAAAGACAATTTAAGATACATCAAACACGATTATTTATTAAAATTAATACGAAATATATTAAAGAGTGACATACATACGATAATCTATTTTTATTTTTAAAAAAAGGATACATAAAAAAGTACATAGTCGATCATTTGTGGGATGAACATATGAATTCTGAGAATTAAATTGCAAAAATTTAACGACTTCGTCATATCGTCTATCCAAATTCGAAATGCATTGTACTATTTTCTAATGGCATGATTTCATATTTTCGTTGTTGTAGTATTTTTATTAATTGTTCTATGTTTTTTATATTTATTAATGAATTTAATCTTTTCCTTAATTTAACGTAATTATTTATTTAGTAATTTATGTATTTGTGAAATAATTAAATAAATAATATTTCGAATAAATAAATTATAAAGAATAAAAAATAGAAGAAAATGGTTAAACACTGTTCATTTGGTGTAATTTTTGGTGTAATGGTTGGAGATGAATTTTAGTTTGAAGCAAGATTTGGTACAAACTTTGGTGCAAAATGGTACAAAATTTGGCGCAGAGTTGAAGATGGCCTTAGATGTTGGCATCGTAGTTCTCAGACCTAAACTGGACATCGATTCAAACAAGTTACACGGGTTAACGGATCACTGGTCTGGAGGATGGGTAGATCATTGTTTGAGAAATAGTGTAAATTGTTTTTTAAGGTGTAAAAACTTCTTTTGTATCATTAATTTTATTTTACAAGTCTGCTTATAATTAATGTATAATTTTTGTTCGTACAATGTTTACATTTATATTCTATAATTTTTAAAATATAGTATCTCCAATAAAGTTTATGGGTCTGTTTGGTAGTAATTATGAGAATTAATTTTTTGACCGTTAAGAAGAAAAGTGGGTCCACCTGTAAATGAAAAAGTCAAAAATTATGGCTGAAATAGTGCAATGACGATCAAAAAATCATTTTTTTTGGATAAAAAAGCACTACCAAACAGGGCTATATTATCTTTATTTTTTTATGTACAAACGTCCCTATTAACAGTAGAGAACATTTGCATTGAACTTTATTTCTTTCTGCATATGAACATAATCATAAGATAGTTATTTGATATTTAAAAAAACTATTTAATGATTCCTTCAAGGTTTTGTAGGTGAAGCTGATTGAAATTAATGAAAAGATAAAATAAAATAAAATAAAATCATATCTCCTTCAAGGTTTTGTATGTGAAGCTGACTGAAATTAATGAAAAGATAAAATAAAATCATATCTTTATATTATAAATACCCCGAACAGATATAATATGCCTTCAACTCACTGGGGTCGTCACAATTCAAAGAACTGGTCATTGGATCAAGTCTTCTTCCTAACTTCTCAAAAATATTTTTGAAAACTGCTCAAGAACTAGTTCGACTGTGCCAACGGGTCAAATAAATGGCAAAGATGAATTTCATACTTCGCTTATTAATACTATATTTGTTTCTCTGGCAGATTACTGAGTGCATTAAGAGCTATATTGATATCTCCGCTGATCCTTCAACTATTATTCAGGTATGTTAATCGATGGAATAATTCAGAGTCGTAAAGCATGGTTAAATTCTTTTAATGTTGATACTGTCTAAGCAGATGGTAATGAGCATAATGTACTTTGCATACTTGTGTCTGAACAAAGCCACAAACTTTTAACCTTGTCTGCAATTAACCTGTCAAATTAAAGTGGATGGTTGCATATTATCTCCTATAATGATAAGATGTACTTCATAAAAACCGATGCATATTTATAACTGGCTTCTATTTATATGTCATATATTAGATTTTAGTCTAGAAATGAATAGTTGGGAATAATAAAGAAGGGTTACCACTGAAAAGATTATGACTAAGATGATAGGAAGAAGCTAAGCTTGGTATGTATTACCAAGGGCTTAAACTAGAAGAGGCTTGTCACAGCACATCAACAGGACCCATATAATTTCTTATTCGTTCCCTCTTACAAGTATCAGACCCTTATGACATTACCCTATTCATTTCCATACACAATTGTTTCGAAACAAGGAAACCACGAAATTCAATATGTTGAGTTCCAATTGTTCTAACTGATGCATGTTTACGACTATTTCTTCCATATATCTGACCATAGTGGAATGTGGACACAAACGTTTCAAGTCTAACCGTAACGACTGAATATTGGAGGAGGCTGTGAAGTACATCAGAAGAACCATAGCCTTAAATGAATATTTGTATTTTGGTTTTCCTCATCAAATAATTCATGCTTCTACACCATATATTAGGGCCAACATTCTATGAGTGATCTTTGTGTCTTTTGAAGATCAAGTGCAGAATATTTTAATTCTTTTCAAATGTGTAAATGTAACATGTAGTTTTTCAGGGTGCTCTTCCTCAAATTCTTAAGAAAACACCTGAAAGTTTCCATTCAAAAACTTTAAATTTGCTGAGAGAAGCTGCAGATATGTGTCATGCTAGACTAAAGAAGATCCCTTGCATCACCTACCCAAGCAGACCCCAAGGTTCCATGTTCTTTATGGTAAGATCAAGCATTGAAACTCAGGAATTTTTACGAGCTTGAAAATTTATCAACTGAAGCATCAATTCTCTTCATGTTGGTTTAGGTGAAATTGAATCTACTGTTACTGAAAGACATAAATGACGACGTTGAATTTTGCATTAAGCTAGCCAGGGAGGAATCGGTGATTGCGCTTCCAGGTAAGAAAAATGCCTTCATAAACATCTGAGAAATGTATTAGGGTAGTTTTGAGCAAAATAAAGTAAATTTTTTTCTGCACAGGGGCTGCCGTGGGATTGAAAAATTGGCTGAGGATAACTTTTGCGGTCGAGCTTTCATCTCTTGAAGCTGGCCTTGAAAGGATTAAAGACTTCACCCTAAGGCATGCAAAAACTGAATAGTTGAAACAGTTCTTAAGCCTATGCAAAAATTGATGATCTGATAACTATAACTTGAATTTTATTAAGTTTTGGAAGATTAACCATCATCCCTTTTTCTCATATTTGAAATTCAAATTTAGAAGAATGTTGTTCGGTCTTGTGTTTGCTTGAATACGTATGGCCAATTGTTGGGGATCCTAGGAGTTCAATCAACCAAAACATCAAACAATAGAAGAAATTCGAAGGCAAAACAATGGAAAAAGGGATGGAAAAATGCAACCTGTCTTTGGCCGAATCTGGACAGATTTTGCTTCTTCCTTGCAGCAGCTTTCTTCCCTTCTTATGGCTGTTTTTCAGGCTCAGGAACAGCCCTCCATGACTTGCAAATCACCTTCCAAGAGAGAGGGGAAAAATCCGGCAAAGAACCACCACCTTAAGCTAAAAAACCGAGAGTCCTTTTTGCTGGGAAAAACCGAGAGCTCCCTCTCATCAAGTCACAACATCTCCCCCAAGATTAAATCTCGGTCGTCGATCTTCATCCAATGGTCCACAAAAAACTGAATAGATGGTGTTAAGTGAACCATATTCTCACATTCTTCATCTTGGTTCTCCTAACACTCTCTCTTGGTTGCGAATTTGCACATGGAAGAACTGTTCATCATCACCGCCCACTACCTGCAAGAAAAATTAACCAATGTCAATATGTAATAAAGATAAGCACAATTTAAATTTACCTGCAAGTAGAATTTTTGTTCCCATATCAGAGGGATTCCTATCAGTGTGAATTTTAACAAGATTAACTTCACCTTGAGACAGTTTCTCACGAATAAAATGATACTTTACCTCAATATGTTTAGTTCTTTCATGGTAAACAGGATTTTTACAAAGCAATAAAGCACTTTGACTATCAGTAAACATAACAGGTGTATCATGCATAAAATTCAATTCTTTTAAAATTCCTTTTAACCAAGTACATTCTTTAACCGCCTCAGTTATGGCAACATATTCTGCCTCAGTACTTGACAAAGTAACTAAAGGCTGCAGCTGTGACTTCCATGTTATACAATTGTCACCTAGTGTAAAAAAGTACGCTGTGGTAGACTTTCTGCTATCATTGTCACCAGCAAAATCAGAGTCTACATACCCCTTTAGAGCAAGTTTTTCAGATCTCTTTTCATACACTAGACCCAGATTAATATACCAACAATGTACCTTAACAACCATTTTAGACCTGCCCAATGGGGCTTTCTTGGGTTTGACATGAATCTGCTAAAAAAACTTATAGCATATGCTAAGTCAGGTCTGGTTGTTATTATAGAGAACATAACGGAACCTATAGCATTAGCATAGGGTATGTTCCTCATTTCTCTAAATTCCTCCTCAGTCTTAGGAGATTGTGCACTGGAAAGATTCATGTGAGCTGCTAAGGGAACGTTCATAGATTTTGATCCATTCATACCAAATTTAGTTATAACTTTGTTTAGATAGGCTTCTTGGGAAATTACTAGTCTATTTTCAGCCCTATCTCTCTTTATAACCATCCCCAAAATCTTCTTAGCACTCCCCAAATCTTTCATATCAAATTCTGATTTTAAAAGGTTCTTCATCTTAGTGATTTCAGTCTTACTTGAACTTGCTAGAAGCATGTCATCTACATACAGCAACAAGTAGACCTCACAGCCCTCCTTACTATCATTATAGTACAGGCATGCATCGTGTTCACTCCTTTTAAAACCTATCTTCAGAACATAGGTATCGAACCTTATGTACCACTGTCTAGGACTTTGTTTAAGCCCATATAGAGATTTTTCTAATTTGCACACACAGTTTGTTTTACCTTTCATCTCAAAACCTTGAGGCTGACTCATGTAAATATCATCTTCCAATTCCCCATGTAGGAAAGCAGTCTTGACATCTAGTTGTTCCAGTTCCCAGTTGTACTGAACAACCAATGCAAGAACAAGTCTGATTGTTTTGTACTTTATCACAGGAGAGAATATCTCATTGTAATCAACCCCCTCCTTTTGAGTGAACCCTTTCGCCACTAATCTGGCCTTATACC